CCAAGGGCTCCTCCGCGGGAGGAGGGCTGCTGCCCGGGGCCGGTGGGCCTGCGTCCTGCCGGGCGCCGGCACGCTGTGTTACGCGGGACTGCCCTTACCTCCTTGGAGGGCTTAGGGAAGGCGCCTTGACACAAATAGCCTTTCAGAAACAGTGGCACGTCAAATTATTTGAATTGGTCACGTGGAGGATGTTGCCTGTATCCCTGACTCGAGGAAGGTATGTGGGCTTTGAATCTGGCCAAGGAAAGGTGAGCACTGTGTAGCTCTCTGGAGGATGAAGTAGAAAATACAAAATACAGCCTCTAACAAGTATTACATACCCAAACAGCACCTTCTTGGAATCAGCAGTCCTTTTAAAGTTACTCCACTGTGGGCCAGAGGCTGCAGCTTTCTGGCCAGACAACAATTTCCTGGACAGAGGAGTTTGCTGTTACTCAAAGTGAGCCGATTCCCTTTGTCTGAAAAACTTAATATGTTTTTGAGTAGGTTTCTCTACTGCATTCCTGAATGCTTGGCATGTGCAAAAGCGTGGTTTCAAACTCCCTTGACATGGGGGGGGGTGTCCCAAGCACTATGTCATTCATCTGTCGATTTGATCCACAGTTTAGCAAATACAGTACAATACCGCAATTGGGGTTAGGGGCCGAAGCAGAGTGGAGGGGAACTGCCAGCGGAGGAGGGAATCACACATAATAAAGATCCGATGACAGCCAACTAGAGAACGGCAAAAGGGAAATACGACAGATTCATAACCTGGTGTATCCCCAGTCCATTGGAATCACTGGGTTTGGAAAAAGGTAGAACATTGTTTCTTTTAACGTCCTGTGCATTGCTGTGGTCAATGAACACGATGGTACTGGTATTTATGTAAAGGTTGCTCAAGCTGATACCAAGAGGAAAAGCAGTGAAAAACATTTTTTTTTTGTGGTTTTAAGTATGATAACTGAACCAGTATTGCATCCAATAATTATAAACTTAAGCAATTAAAGCAAAAAGAAGAAGGAAAAAAGAATAGGAAAAAGAGAGGGAATGTAAGTGGTGTCAAAAATGAGAGCCAAATCAGTAGAGGAAGAAATAGATTCTCTACTGAATTTATCACTGAGCTTGGGGAAAGGTTTGTTTTAATTTAAAAAGTATTTAGCAACAAGGCATAGAACAAGAAAACGTAGAAGTTAGAAGTCCAGTGGGTTTAGACTTCCATTGCTTCCTCAGTATTCCGGATACACTGCTGCTTCCAAATGCTCTCTGCTCCAGCAAAGCACCAGCTTTACTTGTCAGTCAGGAAAGCAAGCCATGAAAATCAAGTGACAGTAAGTACACTGTGCTTAAAATAGAATGCCTTTTGCTCCAGAATCTCTAAATGCAACAGAAGACATTCATAAAGTCTCCCTTCACAATACTCTGTAAAGGTAGCAATATTACTTTTTTTTCCCCCTAAAGGAAATAGAGGAAGCTTGAAACCTCTTTTTTTTAAAGGAATATTTGTTAAAATTTCTGGCTTTCAGTAAAGACCTTCTTATAAGCAGCATATCCAAATTTGAGCATGCTTTACAAGGTTTGTGTGTGATTTTCTCCTCCCCTTTTTATATTTGTGAGATTGTTTTCAGGGAAGGAAAAATGGGCTGGCACTGGCCATAATCTCTCCATGCAAATGGGTAACTACAATGCCTGTATCAAGCTCCGCATACAGCAATTTGAGAATAGATCCGTATTTATACAACAGTAACATTTATGTACCAAACACCCGTTCATGGGCAACGACAACAAGCTAAGAGAAGATAAAGTGTTTTCCTCTAGCTTCTTTAAAAATAAACTCCTCTTTATTTTATTAACTTTGTTTCTTTTTTCTGTGTGTGTGTATCTGTAGGTGTATAAATGTTGTGTCTGCCTTCTTATTCCAAACAATAACTTCCCTTGACCTGTGTAAGTCAAACTGAACACCAAGGCACAGCTTTTGAAAATACTGAATTCCTACCAGATACCTGAAAGTGGGCAGAAAAGAGAATCTTTATTAATGGTGCTGCTGAATTATAACCTCAGCACGCCCAAGTTGACGTAGAGTGTACACAGGAAAGAGAGAATATGAATAATGCAACTAGCTGAACGCTTAAACTGGTTTCACCTACTATGAGACATCAGGGAACACAACTGTAAGCCATAAAAGCACTGCTAGTTTCAGTCCTCCTAGAGCTTTTGTATTTTGCTGTTACTTTATCTCACATGGCCAGGTTTTATTTGCTGTCCTCTGTTACTCCTAGGTCTCATTCAGGTTCACTCATTTCCTGGAAATTCCACGTGAGCCAACTTGGAGAAATTTCTTCTTGGGAATGTTGGGCCGTACCTTCTACAGCATGATATTCTGCTGCTTCTATTCTCTCTAGGTTGTTTTGCCTGGAGTTTTTTGTTACCTTTGGTACGTCTTTGTTCTCCCAAGTTGGTATTAACTGTAGATTTCTTTAGCGCTTTCTTAACTTTGTGGTTTTGGTCCCATTATTTCGACTATCAAACACTATCCCTGCAGAAATCCATTAGACAACTCATCATAAATCAAATCTTTATCTCTTGTTACTCTCTATTTAAGGTTTTGCAGCCTGTTCTAGATCTGGAAAATCCTTTCCTATCCCGCCCCATCCCTGGAAGTGTTCAAGGCCAAGCTGGATGAGGCTTTGAGCAACCTGGTCTAGTGGAAGGTGTCCCTGCCCATGGCAGGGGGGTTGGAACTAGATGGGCTTTAAGGGCCCTTCCAACACAAACCATTCTATGATTCTATGATCATTCCTCTCAGTCATTTTCAATTAATTTTAAATCCAGAGGCTTGGCTGGTCAGCATCGTTAGTCAGGGTATGAATCTATAGCACACTAATGCCCACTCATCCAAATTCCACCAACGGCCTGATACCCAGTACTTCCTATTGGTATGGTGCATTTTGAGCCCGAGGGACAGCCAGTGGTAAATTAAGGAATTAAGGGCATCTGAATATAATGCGTCCCAGTCACACAGTGAAAAGCAGCTTAGTTCAGCTTGTCTTTCAACAGTGCTGGCATCTGGTAGACATTAGAGTAGCTAATTCCGTCAGCAGGGAGCCTACAGGGAGCTGAGGTTTATGCTGGCTCCCAGGTTATGATATACGGTATATGAAGGCTGAGGAGGCAGATACAGATACATAAGCTTGAAGCTGTAACTCCAGCTCTGAGTGCTGACTGTGATGTATCTCAACAGACACAGTATTTTAAATGAGGGCCTTAAACCTGCATGGCATATATTCAAACTGACCCTCTCCTACAGCCTTCTGTGCTTCAAAACAGACTAAGGGGGTCCCAATTCACTGGTGAGATACAGAATAAAGAGAAATTATGAATCATTTATGGAATTTTCTTCTTAGAAGATGTGTGGCCTTCTTTCATGTGTAGCTGTGAGTGAATGTGTAGTAGAGAATTGATTTTGGCAGGAGCAGGGTGAATTGCCAGGAGGGGCGGGGTGTGGGTGCAGGATCACTGGGAATGGAGACGCTGCGTCCTTGCACAGATGGCAGCACAGAACAGATCACAAAGGTAGGAAGGAAGAAAAAGGATCTCAGAGGAAGTAAGATTTACAGAACAAAGTGAGAAAACGTGTTCAGATCCCCAGGGTGAAAGAACTTGTAATTCAAGTGAAAAACCACCAGTTCAGCAGTGGCAGTTCATAGCAACACATTCTTTTACTATTGTGTAATTACTGTTGGATGGCTGAAAACGTGCTGATGTCAAATAACCATGTTGTAATGTGCCAGTAGGTCTAAGCAGACCTTTATCTTTATAAACCATAACTGAAGATTAATCATTACTCAGTAAGCACACAAACCTACCCTATCTATACAGCCAGAGTGAGAACCCGTAAATACATGGCAGGGCAATAAAGAATCGACAGCCTGGTCCAATGACGTGTGACCTTGTGCCTCATGTGCTTCCGAGTTTGCTGGAGACTTATAATCTCCGCCACTCCTGAAACATTTGGAGGTTAATGATGCTAGGGTTGGAAAAATAATGTAGCCAGTTTACTCTTTCTAAGGCATTTTTGCCTTGCACGGTGAAGTCACTAGTGACAGGGTCTGAGTCCCTTTCCTCTGTGACATCTGCAAGAGCTCCATGAATTGCTGAGGAAGGGGGTCAAGATCCAGAATGATGAAAACTGCCATGGTTGGCATTTATAATATTTAAAATACTGAAAACATAGAGACACAAACTTGCATGTATGCATAGCATTTATCTTCACTCCCATTCTGTGTCTAAGCCCTTTGGGTTAGGCGACTGCTGATGCTGTTTTCAACTCGGTGTTGTGGGCCCAAGTTCCTGCTTTCCAGTGTGTGGAAATTAACTAAGAACTGTGGCGAGATGAGACAGAAAAAAAAAAAAAAAAGGAAAAAATCATAAGCAAGAACTTGATAGATCTTAAACACTTCGTATTTATTGTACATTAAATAAAACAATTTCAGGTCACTTGAGAGACTGGAGGGTTGGATTTAGGAAATCAAAATTTCTAAGGGAAGATATGTTGAGCTTAAATGATCATTAAGAACATATGTATTAATCATGTTATAGTAAAAGCATATTCTGTTAAACAATGCTCAGGTGAATAAGGTACGTTATCAGAGGTATGTATTCCAAGGGTCTTATTGCACAGCTACTGGCTAATCCGTGTACCTTCAGTCTGAGAAAGACATGCTTTGTACCACCGAGTACAAACTCTGACTGCCTCTTCGTGTTTATTACACAGCTTATCCTCTTCCCTCGTTAAAAAACAGAACACAATATCAAACAGAAAACGAAGCTGAGCATTACGAACCGTCTGTCGTCTTCAGTTCATTTTATTTCAACCCCAAAGCAATCCATGCGTATTCTTTCTTTTCAGTAAGAGCAGGTAGGGAAAACAAAACAACAAATAAGAAACAAAACAAAAGGGAAAAAAAAAAAGGAAAAGAAAATCCTCAACCACACGTTTGTTCTGTCATTGCAAGAACTAAAATGCTGTAATTCTGCTACCAATTTCCAGCACAGTGGGAGGAAAACACTGTGGACGGACTCTCACTTCCCCTCAGTTTTGTCTGCCTGTACTTCACGCATATATGAACTGATGATATGCGGGGGCACGCCATCCATCAGTAGTCTGAAGAACGAAAGCCCACCTACAAACAAGGGATAAGACAGTCTTCAGCTTGAGGGCGCCTGGAGCAAGAGCTTTGTACTTTATTTTCTGGCGTAAGCGGCAAAGATTTAACCAGTCCCTGTTGCTTACTTCATTTTGAGATGGGATAGAATTCATCCCTGTTCAAAAGTCCAACATAAGAATTAACCATTATTTAATCTATGCACTATACAGAACTTTCCTATTCTCTTGCTCAGGGTGAATTTTATTTCTAGGATGTCATATATTCAGTGTTTATCTTAACCCATGCAATAGTCTAGATAAGCTTCACCACAGATAACCCTTCGGGATTTCCATCGGGCTGGGTGGAGCATAGTCAGAGATGGAAGGCAGAGGGAACAACACAGAAAACACCTGACACTGATGAGTTGTGGGGAACATGCAGAGACATTCAAATTATTTTAGTGTTGGGTCTTACAGTGGTTTATAAGTACTTAGCAAAATATTTACCATGTTGCTTGAAAATAACCACTGGGATGACATACATAGAAGAATCATATGAAAAAAAAAAGCCAGGATTTTAGATATAGGTGCCTTTAGACTCCAGAAAGAGGTGATGAAAGTCAAAACTTTCATCTGCTGGGGAAGCCTGAGGAATTATTTTAGATTAGCTTCTGAATAAAAAATAAAGCACACGTAATCATCTTGGGTCCAGGTGCTTATTCCCTGAAAGCTCTACAGTTTTCCCAGGCCTTGAAGCTATTGGTATGTGATCTCAAAGCTGTGGGAGGTCCTGCACCAATCCATAGGGGAGGGTTACTCCACACTTCAGGTGAGCAGCTTCCTTAGCTGCATCAGTGTGCCTGTGCTCACAGGCCCCGCTGACTAACATTCAGCATTTCCTCCAGCCCTGCCAAAACTGTTTCCTCTGTGAAACTAAACTTTTCTTTGTTTTTGTTTGTTTGTTTTCCATTTTCCAGTAAATATTCACTGAACAGGTGTCAGACGTACCATTCCCAGCCTTTTAGGTCTCTGTGCTTTATGACTGTGGCTTAACCATTGTGAGTGAAAAATGGAACCAAACTTATTTTAAGTCATTGCTGCAACAGAGACCTGGGCTTGTAAGAAAGCCATTGGAAGTACTCAATGTTTTCTTTGGTGTTCTGGAAAAAAGGGACAAGGCAAAAGATTTTCGAAGAACATTTGATAATTCCAGCGACCAAAGACTACTCAATGTTTTCTTTGGTGTTCTGAAAAAAAGGGACAAGGCCAAAGATTTTTGAAGAGCGTTTGATAATTTTAGCAACCAAAAGAAAAACATTTCTTTCAGTGGGCCAGAAAAACTTGTATGTAGAGTCTAACACACCAGCCAGGGAACCCCAGATCCACTGAGGTAGAAGCAGCAATTTAATGCAAATAATCCAAATTTGGAGTGAAATTTCATGCCACTGAAAAGAAGTGTCATGGAAACCGAACACATGGATATTTCTGTTAGGCTCATTGAAATCAAACAACATTTGGAAGCAACAGTGGGAAAAAGATAAATATTTTGCTAAAAGCATTAGAGTTTGCTCTTTCTCAAGGTGAAGGGTGGCATTTGTTGTAAGAAAGCTACATACCATTACTATTCCACTTAGAAATCTGCATGGGTATTCTGTTCTGCAAGTTGTGAAACCACCTGCTAAGAACCGCACTTACCTTCGGAGCCTTTTCTGGAACACACCAAAAGCTTTAAAGCAGAAGTACATTGCCAGGATAAAGATACCACTGCCTCTGAATGCTTCACCTAAATGCAACTGAGCTGATACTTACACACAGCATTTATCCTGAGTACAGATTTTAGGGATTTATAACCTTTATTAAAACAAGGATTATCCAATTAAAGTGCTATTAGTTGCTAGTGGTGATGAGACCGTGCTGTCCCATTGAACACTGTCATTGTTGCAGAACTCTTCGCTCCCGACCTTAGGCAGATGCACAATACAGACAAAAAAAAGCATGCTTTTTGGCATTCTTTTCAGCTCATGTAGTGCAAGTTGCGATACGAATCATTCCTTTTCAAATGAAATTAACTGTGGAATAAATATTTCATTTCTGTAGAGGTATATTCCTATATGAAAAAAGAGCATTTTGCCTTCACAGTCAATTATTATTACTGTCATTTCATACATGCTAATTAATCATGCTGTTAAATTCCATTGAAATGTGCACTGTTTTAAGGTAGTGGGATGTACTACTAAGAGGAATTACTGGAACAAGCAATTATTATAGAAATCTGGATTTATATGCATTAAAACTATCATGCTACTTGTTTTAAAAAACATTTTCATTAAGTGAAATAATGAAAATCATGCCATACGAGGCAGACATTGTATGACGTGTAAACAGATATAAGCTTCATATGCAAGAACCATATGAAAGCTTACCTTAGATGACAATATACATTCAAAAATCCTTACTGTGTAACTAAGGGAGAGAGAGAGAGAGAGAAGTAACAGTTTAATCGCAAACACAAAAGTAGAGAGAAAATGTTGAGTGAAATTATGTTTACAGTTATGTCAAGATGATGTTTTAATCCTTAGTCATGTAAAATATGTAGGAATAGAAGCACATGAAGAGTAAAAGGTAGGGATCCAGTTCCACTTCAAAATTATCATTAATATGTAAAAAGCTATATTAATATGTACAAGTAACTATAACTCCTGTAATTAGTTTAAAGTACGTATTGGAACCAAATTATGCAACTGATATTTATCGTAAAAGTTTCCAAATGTAGCTTCAAGGAAGCTAACACATATATATATATAGTATTTTCCACCAGGGAAAAAAAGCGCACACGTAACACTGAAGCATATATATATATATATGTCGAAACTCTATAAGGCAAAATAATCAAGTACAGACTAATAACATACCTGTGCACTGAAGTAAGTACTGTGCACATATCCACATTTACATTACTTAAAGCATGCTATTTTCTCTATAGGAGCCCTTACCTTTAATTAAACATTTTGACTCTATAAAACATCCATATATATATTTACATATTATATATATAAAAGAACTCAACTTTGTGCCTATTGTAAGCATTTAAGAAAAAGACCTTAATACTTCAAATACTACAGGAACATCATCTAGCTTAATTTCTTAACATGTTTTAGGTTAACAGTAAATTTGGATGCATAATATGCTGGAGACTAGTTTCTTGTCACATCTGACATTTTAAAACTGCACTGTCAATATTCTGGATTTGGGCAAGGTCACAAAAAACCCCACGTTTCTATAGAAAAACCAAATTCTCTGAACTCCACTGAACCAGAACTTAAAGTAAGGTCCAGAGGAAATAAAGCAAAATTATATGCTTATAAGTAAAAAGTTTTTACTGATTTTAGTTGGATCACAATTTCATCCTTATATTCTGTAGTGGAAGATCAGGCATGGATTATCAACCTCAGTACTAACTTGTAACCAAAGTCTATAATTCTGTAATAAGCACAGTAAATGGCTTTATAATACTTCTGTTCTTTCAATAATTCTACAAACTGAGCTGTTTTTCAAATTTCTATCCTCTGGAAATGTCAAAGTGTTCTGGTCAAAGGTAGTAATTTAATAAATTCTTTATAGGTACAGGTAGTTCTATGCCCAGTGGCATAGCAGAAGTAAATATGCCTAAAACCTTTTGAACTCAGATGTTAAATATGCATATTCTTGATTAATTTGGCCTTCTTTGCTCATGTGACATAGACATTGTATGCCATGAGACACTAGCTAGTTTGATCTAAAAAAAGCAAATAAATACACGCTTTGCATGCAGAAAACGCGTTGCATGTGGAAAGAGAGGAAGGGAATGAAATGGAATGTCCGGAGGAGAATGCTTATTATAAACCTGATTATTCCCCGCCAAGAAGAATGGTTCTCCTGGGTTAATTACTCCATGATATATCACTGCAGAATTAGAATATTTATAGTGGTATTTATTCGCATTTGTAATTCTTCCCAGTTGATCTTAACACCTTATTTTTTAATATTTCTTATATACAGCATCTTTGCTATCATCAGCCTATTAGAGGGATTACCAACCTTGATTTTGCTCTTAAGAAAAACATTCTCAAAAACATTTGTTTCATGGTAAAAGAAGCACGGTGCTTTATCAGAATCTTTTCATTGACCTCAGTGAAGCTGATAACGAATCTGTTCCACACTTCTTGTAATGAGAGATTTACTTCAAACTTAAAAGGTATATATTTTGAATTTTCCTTATGTAAAATATATAATTAGATTCTGTGTATGCATCATCTTTCGAGATAGATGAGTTAGAGTTAAGCTTTTATCTAAGACCTATTACATGACTTTTTCAGCACATTTATATTTACAAAAAAATGCCATTTGTACATGCAGTTGTACCAAGCAGCTCGTATACTGCCATCTTTAAGTTCACTCAGCAAAACTGAAAACACAAGAATAAAGTATTGTCTAACTGAAATAGCATCAGCAAATGCAAACCCTTTCTTTTTGAAGGCAGAATAAGATTTTTTTTTAATTACTGTGCTCATAATTAATTATTTTTCAAGAAATGAGAATTAAATTTACTAACAACCAGGGGGTTTAATTTGGCACTAAAATACTGCAAATGGATGGCTAAAAAAGTAGAAAACTAGCATACTGATAGTTTTCATAGCAAGAGTATTCACAGCTACTCAGTTGCTCAAGTACTATGCAAAACTGGAAATCCTAGACTGTTCTGTGAGTAGTTTGATGTCATTCGAAGGACTGGGCTTGTATATATATGCATGATGAATTTCAGATCTCCAACTCTTCAGAAATAGATGGATAAAATAAATTCTAGCAACATAAGGAAAATTCACTTAGTGGCACAGTGCTCTTTAGCATGACTTCCTAGCCAAAGATAATTGCACTTGCCCAGCAGAGCCAGTACATTCACCAGCTGGGTAGCGTAGCCTTGCACCTCTTGGTCTTATTTAAAGTCATACATGTGAAAACCCACACAACCACCCCACCCCCCACCCCCCACTCTGCAATCCTTTTCCAGTGAGTCAGAAATCCGTAACTGCGTCGGTGTGAAAGCAGTCATCCGAAGAGCTCTCCTCAGTGAACAAACAGGCTGGAAACTTCAGAGAATGGTAATTCAATGATAAAACAATAGAAGGGGGAAATAAGATGTAATTATGCTTTAATGCTCCAGCTGTTTAATATTTATATGCATTTGTCTGCATCATATAGCAAACCCTGAGCCTACCCTGGTTCAGCAAGCGACAGCTGCTGTATTCCCTTAATCCTATTCCCTTTGAATTTATCAGCTGAACTGCCAGTCATGTTAAGAGTATCAGCACTGAACCCTTACAACAGCTGTCCTCTGTCTAAGCCCTACAAACTGCTGGTCTAAAAGGAGTCTAAAGTAATGGCTAAACCTACCAGGATGGAGAGAGGAATCTCAGCAAGGGACCGCTCGCAGCCCAAACCGCTGGGAGAGAACCACAATACCAAGCTTGGTGGGAGGGGATGGGACTGCACCAGGTGATGGTTGATATGAGATTGGGTTCAGAAACCAATCATTAAGCAGGAGAGTTGATATTTAGCTAATGAAGTAGCCCATCACACAGCTGAGAAGAGAGAAACAACACAAAGCCCAGGTGGCATTCTAACAGCCTGCATTTTTCAGGACTTCTTCCCAGGGGTGATGCAAAACCAAAGTACTGCTCTGAGCAAGATGTCTGTGGCACTGTTTTCCATTTTTTCAGATGGTCTTCTAAAGTAAAAGTTACTTTTTTTGAGAAGGAAGAAGGCTTTTTGAGTCTCGAAATATCTATGCTACAAGCCTCTTGCAGTCAGTGGGTGTGGAAGATTTTGTTCAAATTGAGAAAGGATGAACTAAATCTTGTCTAAGAGGAGTAATTCTTGCAGCCTCATTCTCACTGTAGCAAAAGTATGTTCAACTGCAACCCCGAGACAAGGTGCCAGAGGAACTGAGGCTGTAGGATGTGCTGCACGCAGCTGATAGGATGATTAATAGTAACCCTCAGGGCCCATGCATCTACACGAGTGTTCCTGTGGGATGAATTATTGGGGAGGATACTTGAATCCGGTGGAGGTGCCAGGGTATGTCAGCAATGTTAAGAACTGAGTCAAAATCTCACGCTCACAGAGCTGGAAGCAGCCTGTCATTTAGGGCATATCGTAATCCTAGCAAACTATACTGCTGTCATTTTTCTAAGCTGCCCTTAAAGGCTCTTGGGCGAAATGCTCTGCAACCTCTGCAGGAATTCTGCTCTAGTGCTTTGCTGCGCTGACTGTTGTCTACCCAGAATGTTTGCTGCTGGACACAACTTTTGGGTTTTAATCTTTAATGCAGCCATTATAGAACAAATCAGCTGTGAATGGGACAGGCCTGGCAGCTTGTGGACGTAGCATATCATGTGCTGTCCATTTCAGAACACTGCTCAGAAAACTGGACCTATGACAGTTAAATTGACATCTGTCAGCAAAAATCGTCAGGGGACACCATCTCAGCTATACCTAGTAACTGTTTTAATGAACAGAACTGTAGCTTTTTTTCTAGGTACATTACTTCTAATTGACTGGAAAAGGATCTAAACATTCCCAGACTATTTCAGATACAAGTTCATAAATGTAAGAAATTCCCCATCAGTATTGATCAAAGGCAAAAATCTCTCCACACTTCTGTCTTAAAAACAGAGCAGCTTCCACTGCGGGTGAACAATTTCCTGGAAACTGTTGCATATTAAAAGAGAGCCTGAATGGTGGTGTTTGTATTATGCTTCAAAAACAGCAAACTAATTAATCCTGATATTCAGTGAAAAGAAGATCCAAGATCAACAGAAGCATCTATATTTCACAACAGCTGGAAAGGGAATTACTGAAGAAAACATATGTAATCCATGGCAACATTTGGAGATTTGACTTCCTAAAATGGAGAGAGATTAGTGAAATAATTTCTTATCTTAAAAATGTTTCACAGTAATTCTGCACATTAAATGTAAAAAATTCTTTGTATAACAAAGGAGAGAAATAAACAGCTTCTTGTATTTAAAATGTATTTGGTGGCACTGCAAGCAAAGTGCTGAAGACTAAAAAGTTACAATTGAGTTTAAATGTGCATAAGAACTTTAGGGTTTGGGGATTTAGGAGGTTTAATAAAATAGCAAACTTGGCCTTTCAGTATAAAAGAATAGATGAAGCAACCTTTTCAGGTGGTGAGGACTTCTGTTATACACTGTGAACTGAGAGTGTGCTTATGATTAAGGAAAACAGTCGTACTTCCAGGATGAGGACATAGGACATCACCTTTTAAACGCAGTGTCTTAAAAATAAATAATGAAAATTGAGAAACATATTATGCACATTTTCATTACGTTAATTAAACATTCAATTTCATAGACCAAACATTTATTACAATGGCTTCTTGCTGGCAGATTTAAGCTGTGGGACAAGATACATTAGAAAAAATAGAAAACGGAAATTGAAATGCAAAATAAAAACAATGCAATCCAAAAGGATATTAAATATTATGGTGTTCATTATAGACTAGCATGATGGAAATAATATAATTAGGGCCATATTCAGCTTGCCTAAATTTCCTCTAAATTCCTGAGTTAGACTCTTCCTATCAGTTTGCTTTAGGCAGCTTTCCTTACTTATAACCTCAAATTAATTTTTTCACAAATACTTAGCTTATTCTTCAGAAAATATAGCACAAACACAGCATGCTGACCCTCAGAAAGAAAACAGAGCAACCAATATAGTTTATTTTGTCCTAACTCAGTTATTATTTTCATCCAGGAAAGTTAAAATAGTTGTTTGACGTCCCTTTTGCATTTTTCTTGCATATTTTGACTCCTGTGTAGATGGTGTTCAGACAAACAGGACATTTGCAATGTCTTAAAATCCTTACCTTTTACTTCCAGTTTGCAATCAACTTCTGCCTCTCCAAGTTCGTTGACTGCTCGGCAGGTGTAAGTACCTCCATCGTAGGGACTGGGTTTGCGGATCTCCAAGGTGCAGACACCTTGGTTGCTGAACATTCGGTACCTTGGGTCATTCATTATAAGGACTTTGTTTTTCATCCAGGTTATTTTGGGCTGTAGTAAAAACAGAAGAAAACCCACATGCACAAACATATGAGCTTAAATATTTTGTCACTTTTTGTGGTGTTCTGTTGAAGTTGAGTAATCCAGAAATGATGGAAATAGATAAAATAGTGATGGAAAGGGAAATGTAAGTCGTAACTCAGACATACATGGGCTGCATCATGTATCTGTTTTTAAGCCCCACTTTTTCAGTTCAGCTCCTATCACATAATAAAAGTCAGAAGTATAAACTTGTTATCAATATAAGACATGCTGTGTAATGATAGCCAACATCTGAGCAATAGCTTTTGACATCAGGTTACTCTAAGTCATTTAGAACTCACTCTTGAGTTCTCATTTTACTAGGTCAGCTCAGTTTTTCACAACAGAAAAACAGATTACAAAAAGACACAACTCAAAAGAAACTGGGAGATGCATTGCACAGTGAGAACCAACGTCATCCCCAGAGTAGTCCTGCAATGCGCTTTCTTAAAGCAGAATTAGCTTTTTATAGAATAATTACGGCTTTATTTTAGTAACAACCTTTACTGATATATAAACTGTACAGGTGTTGCCAGTGCCAGCACAGCCCAGCCTTTTCCTGAGGTGCTGCCCTTTCACTGACTCCTCTGTGGATTCAGTAACTATTATAATGCCTATAATACAGGTGAGTAGGTCCTTTTCTTTACTCTTCAGAGCCCACACCACTCTTTTTGCCTTCAGCCTGACTTGTGAGTGAGACAAATAGTCCAAATGTCATCATGATTTTTGTTGTCAGGTTAAACTCTCCCGTGTTCTAACTGATACTGTTGTGAGCTGTGCTGTACCTTGGGGTTGCCCCGAACACTGCAGTTCAAAGTCGCATTGTAACCAGCTACAGCAAACGTGTTGACTAGAGGCTGAGTAAACAACGGCCGTTCACTGAAGTCAAAATCATCGTAAACTGGGTATTTGTAGATTTTACCTAAGAAACGAAAAGAAAACGTTCATAAGAAGAGTGTTGGTGTGTAGCTGAATGCCCAAGCATCTTAAAAAGCTACAAAGAGCCTGAATCTGTTCTGATCTACACTGCTTTAGGTACCAACCTGACTCTAGTTAATTGCAGTTGTAAGGGGGGCTGGAAGTGAGCCTGGGAAGTGACTAAAGTCCTCGTCATGCGATAGGGTAGAAGTCTGAGAGCTCCTCTTTGTTTCCTGAGTGGGTGGTATACAAAATAATACACCTTTATTCTGTGTCTGCCAGCATGCCCTGCATGTTACAGAACGGGATGGATCCTGACTGATGTTCTGCGGGATGCCTGCCTTGACGAGCCATGTTCACTCTGTTGCCAATTACTTTTCACAGTTTGCTCTGATTACAAACTGTCTGTATCTGAAAATCCATTTTCCTTTCTGTTTCATACAGTGCACTAACAACACAGATAAGTGAATGGATGTAGTTTCTGTACAAGGAAAAGACAGTAGTAAAATCCAGTTTCTCACTGCCACTTTATCCCTGCTCTGCAATGGAAGTTAGCATCGATAAATCATCTTCACTTACAAACTAAGCTGGCATTTAAAACAGCTGGACAGACTGACATCTATTCCTGTGCAGAGGTATCATGAAACATCTTTGCTTCGCTGAAACCTGATGGAACCTCTCGTACTTACTTCAGTCCAGCTTAGGCCTGATACCCACTCTTACGACAAGGGCAAGTAAGCAGTGATGATAAACAACTCCTACAGCTGTTCTTTTGTTCATGATCCCATTTCTGAAAGAGGAATATTTTTTTTTTTAATTCAGAAGTGGGATCCAGTACCCTGGGCCTTCAGTCCTTCAGCCGGTCATTGTGGCTTTTACAGGTTGTCTGTCTGCATCTTGGCAGTCATGTATTCCTTTCTTTCAACAAACTGAGGTAATCTGGATCGATTTTCTTCCTTTAAAAGGAATAAAATTTCCCTTCCATAAAGGGGCAGTTCATTTTTTTTTTAATGTTTACAGTACCATTTCAAACTGACAATTTCTGAAATGTCAGGATTTCTGACCGCAGAATAAGAATTTGTCCAGCTCCAGCTGTGAGAGATGTGAAGCAGGGATTACACTCATCTATTGGATCCTGCCTGAAATGGATGGGAGCCCTTGCTCAGGTGGTGCCAAGTCTCGATGGGGAGGCAGTGACCTACCACTTCCAGCAGAACAGCTTCTTTACTCCTCTTCCAGCTCATGTCAACTTAGGCCTGCCAGTGGTGACACAAGTATGAGATCCAAGATCGTAGAAAATGTCAGAATAAGGGAAAAATGTCCCAGTCTTGATTAAAAAAACCAACTATGAACTATGAGGACAAGCTGAGAAGTCCTAATATGAAATGTCCTGGCTGTTACTTACTTGTACCTAGTCTTGGGGTTAGGAATGCATCTGAATGCTTTCGAGATATGGCCTTTACCTCTAATCACCTTCCAGCCTCTGAACACACCCCTTCCCTTTTGGCAAGGAATGGATAATTAGCTAACCATCCTTTGCAATCAAAGCGCTCTCTTTGGTCATCGTTGCATCCTCACTGAGGCCGCACATGTTTTCAGCAAAGACCCGGAAGTAGTACTCGTTCCCTATGACGAGCTCGTTGATGGTGGCGCTGGTGCGGTGGTAGTGCTCCATTACCGTGAACCATTCCTGGAAGACACGAGGACAGAGGCTAAGCTTCCCTGCAGTGCCCCAAACCTCTCAGCCATTAACTCTTTGGAAGAATCGTTAAGCTTATAGGAGTAAGGTTTTTCTTTAAGGGAGGGTTAATGGATACTAAGATAGTGAAGCTGGCAATAATTATTTATTCTGTCCGAAATAAGTGATAATGAGAATACCACAGAGCTCACTGCTGAGCAGTGAAGGTCAAATGGGAAATGAACCCTACTGAATGGTTACACTCCTTTAGCTGGGAGGGTTCATTTTAAGAAATCCAATATTAGAAAGGTTGTATTGTGCAAGGCAAGGCAGGCTCCTTCATTCCTAGTCCCCACTGCTAACAGAGAAAGGACGGCTGCAGAGAAGGGAAGTAGCAGCATGTACTACTCTGCAGTACCACACTCACAACAGGCCAATGCACTAATCCATCCCCTGTTCTACAGGTGAGGGTCCATGAGAAGTGTAACTTTATGCGGGTGGTCTACTGATATCTAAGGGCTCAGATGGGGCGGTGGGTTTTAGCACTTCAGTCTTGCAGCAGTAACAGGTTGTGTGATTTCCATCCTGGTACACAATACCTGGCTAAGAAACCGAGATGAATGAGTTCAATGCTAAAAATACAATTAATATAAAGTGAAAGATGACCACAGCAATATTTTTGCTTTTCTTTACTGTGCCCTACATAGCGTTCTTGCTTTTCTAAAGCTGAACTTACGCTGAGTTCCCTGTGCCACAGTTGGTATTGATATCTGGTCATCTTTAAGAGCCAAAGTGCCTTTTGGGAAAACAGTTTTCTGTAGAAGGACAGCTGTGCCGCCAGAATTACAAAATTCAACACCACAGAGAATATGCGGACACTATGACCTGAATGATCCATGACACTGTGGACCCTAGGCACTGCTGTTGCTGTCTCCCTAACATGGTAATTTAGAGACAGGAGACATCGTTGTTCTCGTCCCTATACAGAGACCATCTCTTCTTACAGGCTGAAGAGAAAGAAAAAATTAAGGATGGGAAGGGAAATAGTGGCACAGGAGGAATGAATTGATCAGACTATGAAGCAGATCAACATATTAAAGTTGGGGGGGGTGAGTGGGGTAGCAAAACCAACTACAGTCTTTTAAGGAAGTGTAAAATTCATGTGAGTTTCATGAAAATAATAAACACCTCTATATCACACTTTACATCTGCAAATCTCAAAGCAGCTTGTAAATTACATATGTGTCATTTTGCCATGGGTAGTAAGTAGTGGCAATGACATACACCATGTGGCATTGCAGGTTTGAAAACAACGGCACTACATTTTGATTCTAGTAGCAACCTCCTGACTTCAGAATTAATATTTTGGGGTTTTATATTCTCTTCTGAGACAAAGAAAAAAAGAAGAGTTACTTCCCTCAAGTCCCTTCTCCTTTGCTTTTTAGCCCTCCTCTTTGGCATCATATGAAAACATTTCTATTTGTAGGCTTTAGATACAGTAAACAGGAGATTATTGGATTTCTTAGAGTTGCCTTGCAGATTTTCTGAACACTGACTAATCAATGCTTCGTGCTCCTACATCAACTTAAGCATGTAAACCTTTTTATTTTTAAAAGGGGGAACTTCCTGAGTACATCAGCCTTTTAAACATCTCCTTATTACTTACCATACTCTTCTTATCTGCTTTTTGAATAGTGTACCCAGTAATAGCGGCATTGCCATCATCTTGTGGTGGCTTCCATGATAAATTTACATTCTCTCCCCAGACATCGTCAATAGTTACAACCTCTGGTGGGCCTGGGCGATCTGGAATAAAAACACGGCAGCTGACATTTTCCACTGTTTGCACTCTCTCCCTATCTCTCCTACACACATCTTGCACTTAGTTCAATTTCTCTCTCTCTCTTTCTTACAACACACACATGTCAAAACTGATGTCAAAAGAAAGCTGAAGTTGCAAAATATAACTTTCCAAAGTCAAGATGTGTCAGAATTATGAAAAACTTAGCTTTGCCACTTTGTGAATATGGTTCCTAATATGCATTTTCTCCTTAATTGCATATGGACATGATATTTTGGAAAAGCTAAAAGCAGTTGAAGATGTGTTCCTAAAAGACAACGTTGGACAATCATTGTAAAGGCTATGCTACCAGTTTTGCCTATATTGTAAAGAAATAGATAGTACAAAATTAAAAGTGTTTTCTTGCCTGTCTTTCCTACTTTCATGTACTTTCAACATTTAGGATTTCTTCCATATTACTCTTGTGACAAAATTACTATGAATTCACTACAAATTCTGGCTATGGATACCACTCAGTGGGGAAAAGCTTGCATCCTGGATAGACAAGAACATGAAAAGCATAACAGTGAAAAAAAGAGACTGACATGTTCCAACAAGCACCTGCCATTGTGTAGGGAGGTTTACTTAGAGACCACGAATCTGTAGCCAAGTAATTGGATGTGGAGAGTTATCACGCCAAGAAAGATGCTCTTTGGGGTTCCTCTGATTTACTACAGCCTTAGAATGTCTGGAGCCTGCTTCTCTGGCATGCATTTATTTCTGTTTCTCAAAACATACCAACAATTTGAATATCTATTGTAGCTTTGTCCACCAAGTTCTCTACTTCCACTTTCATGTCATATTCTCCAGAGTGGCTCCTTTCTGCCTTTCGGATGAAGATGATCGTGTCATTTTCAGTGTTGCGGATGTTGATTTGGTTCTTGTCGATTGGAGAACCGTTTTTCTGCCATGATACTTTTGCCCTTGGTTTTCCCTGTAAGAACCCAGGAAACAATTTATATGTGATTTTGGGAGAGAAAAGGGTGGGAGAGAAAATGGGTTTAATTCCCATTTTCCCCAAAACAGGAAATAAAACCACCCTGAAAAAACCTGAGAATAGTTTTTTTAATCATACAGCATTTGAGATAGAATCATCTTAATTAATCTAAAATGCAGCTTGCTTTCTTTTTTCTTGCAAGTTCTGCTTAAATTGGACATATAACTTTCTGGCCAAACTTGACAAATAATTTCCAGTTTTCTAAAACAAAAAGGAGAAAAAAACCACAGAAAATGCAGAATAAAATATTTCACCCTGTGGAAGTGTCTACATTCTCTACACTGATTGTGAAAGAGAAAAGTAGCAGACTGTGCTGGATTCATGGGAAAATGCCTTACATCCTTAGAAATAGTCATGTTACAGCTGTAATCTCATAGATTTTAAAGTTGCAGTTACTATAGAAGACAGTGAAACTCTGCCTACAATTCTCCTCCCTTTTCCTCTCTCAAGACAAGAAAATGGTTAAATGCTACAGTCCCACCCTTGACACCACATCTAACTACTGCCAGTGTAACCATTTTGCATTGTGGTAGTGATTATCTCACATGTAATGTCTACTGTGAGGACTTATAACTGTCCTTTGGATGACAGGTGACAAATCTGTCTAAGCTAGTTACCTAATTCATTAATTGGCTTAACATCATTTCTTTGAGATGCCAAAGCAACAACTTTCAGGCACCTTTTTCTTCAGTGTGCTTCCAGATTTGTATAAGTTAACTCACTGGCCTACCAGTGTTATACAGAAATAAGTTAAAAAGCAGCAACATAAGAAAAATAAAGTATTTCCCTGTCAGTGTTTTTAGTTCTTACTTGGAAAGGAATAACGAGATTCACAGTTTCTCCAACTCTTCGAGTGTAGGTTTGTTTTAAGTGTCTTGGTAGACGAATCTTTGGAGGTTCTGAAAAAAGCCAAAAGCTTGTGTTTGACATTTATCTTCTTTATCTTCTAACTGAGGCAGCACTGGTGGGCGTAAGTTTATTTAGGAGACTACGATTTCCAGAAGTGACTAATGAGTGAGGTATCTTAAATTTCTTGGTCCCACAATGTTACATTCAGTACACTGTCCGTTTTTGTAACACCGCGTGCTATGATGGTAAGAATAGGCAGGAAACAACGCAACTTAAAAAAAGCAACAGCAAGTTCAAGTTCTGCAGAAAAAAAGCCTTGAAAGCCTGAGAAATAAAGGCTCAGAAGTGAAACATGTAAAAAGAAGTGCAAATTTTTTTAAAGACAGTTGCATGATTTCTAGTCACTGCACAATGGCTTTGTAAGGCCATATCGTCAGGTTCCAACAACAAGCAAGTATTAGCCTTAAAAATCCAGAACTAAGTATGGAAGCAGTGTGTATTTATGGGCAAGCGTAGGCAGGAGGATCTTACCTATCACTTCCTTGACTAAAATAGGCTGTGGGTGGTACCTGGGCTCACTTTCACCAGCAGCATTCACAGCTTTTACTCTCACAAGGATTTTCGAGCCAGTCGGCAGGCCAGTGATGGTAAACTTTGTTTTATCTGTCAGCTCCGGGTTAGCCACGATCCATTCGTCAGCTAGTATAGGCAAAAGAGGAGGATGCATCGAAAGAATAGGGAATTATAAATACATCCACTGCATGGATAAGGAAAATTACAGAACAGTAACAGATTCATTATATTCTAATGAATACCTCCATTTTGTTTCTCTAATAATGCTATAACATGACATTGATTCTCTTTCAGATGTTGGAAAAAGGTTTCAGACATTTTTAAAGGGTTTCTGCTGATTATATATTTATATTTAGAGAAATAAATACTTTTAGAATGTGTCTATCATTTAATTGTACCAGAGAGAAAACTGATTAACTATTAAATTCAGCTGACAGAGAACAAGAGGGACATGGAGTATATTTCCGAAAGCACTCATCATTGCTTTAACAGCTTCCTTGGAGAGAAAGGGGGTAAAAAAAAAAAAAAATGTGTTTTACAATTCCTTTCAATAATATCACAACTAGACCAGTACTGACTACCCTTGAAAGTACCACTGAGAGCACAGGGATGAGGGAAATACAGAATGTTTACAAATTGCAATGAAATGCCATCTCTCCCTGTGCCTTTAAGAAAGGAAGGCTGTGTCAGAATTATTCTCATAATTACAGCATTCTTGGATATTTTATCCTACCCTAGGCAGTCTCATGTAATTCATAGAGTGATCGTAACACTACAGTCTTTCAGAAAAGCTTTGATTGCAAATGATATTTTCTTTTCCACCCTGTCCTCCAGACACATATCGCTTTAATGCTGCTGTCACCCTGACATCTTGAGTCAGATTTATGCAGTAGCGAGCCAGTATCAGTACCTCCCACATCATATAAAGATATCTTTAGAATACTGCCACGGAAGAAGAGAACTGTGATAAGCTAGAGAGCCCTGAAGACTTAGCGCGCAAAACCGTGGTACATTTTCACGACTGTGTGTCTTACTTTTAGGAATTAAGTTCTCCTTCAAGCTGCTTCTTTCAGCTTCTAGCAGAAGAAGATTGCAATCAATTACTGTTTCCCGAGCACCTCTCCCTCCCCTTATACACGTACTACAGAAAATTCTGTAGATTGTTGCCCCTAAAATTCACTCTCAGAAATTTATCTTTACTTTTATGAAGAGAGTTTTTCTTTCATTAAAGAAGATTTATGTCCCTTGATGAATACTGTACCTTCCACGTTAAAAGGTGGCTCCACCAATTCCTCAGACAGATCTGTCGATATACCTTGTGAGAATCCATCTTTAAAATTAATCAGAGACACCCACTTTCACACAGATGGAGCATTTTGTCAGTGGTTAGCAATTCCTGTTAGTAAGTATGCAAAGATAGATGCTGGGCTTTAAAGATTTAGAGGACCTGTCTTTAGGGATACTGCAGGGAGGAAAGATGGGAAGAGTGCATCTAGGTCAAAGAACAATTATGCATGATGCTCACAGGAAAGCTAAAGGATAAAGGAAGAGGAGGAGATATGGTTGGGTTTTTTTTTCCTTTGGGCCTGATCACAGCCCTGGAAAGATGGAAAGAAAGAGACAAAAGGAACACTTGGAAGAGAGAGAATGGAAACAACATGATGATGAGAGAAAGTGTAGGAGGAGAAGAAAACACATCATAGAAGAGAGAAGAAATTCAGAGAAGAATTCTGAGTAAGAGAGACAGCAAAAGGAAAGTCTTGGAAAAAAACAGAGGAAGAGAACACATGTAGCTAAAGATGACATAGAAGAAAATTAAAGAAGGCCAAAACCATGGATGATGACAGATATGATAGAATCACTAAGGCTTTATTTCCTAGACAAAGCTATGTCTGCCCTGGATTTCCTGGAATTCTGAACTTGGCTATTTTCAGGATAGTAAAAATACCATTCTAGTATCTGTGCATGGTCCTGGACAGGAAAGATGTCAGCCAGCAGAGGCCCTCCAAAGTGCTTATTCATTACGTATGAAAGCAGATCATCTGCAGCTACAATGGCCCTTTAAAGGCAGATAAACATGGTGTCCTAGGAAAAACGAGGGCCAAGCTCATCAGACTACACTTGAAATGTCAAACAAGAACCAGTAGGCAGCATATATTACTAGGAATTGACTTCTCCAGTGCCAACAAGATTTGGTCTATTCCACATCACCACAGCAAGAGGTTCCAGTTGGATGTGGTAAACTAGCCCTGGGAAGGGTAGTTCTATATGCATGTTAATCACACCTATGCATTGCCAGATCCAGATACCCATGATGAGACTCCAGTCCGGTAATATACACTATGAGCTCACAACAGTGCTACCATAGTTAAGAAAGTCCAAGAGTCCACCACGTTGATCAAGTTATGAGGTTCAGACTAAAGGCAAATACTTGTTTTTGAGAAGCCAAACTAATGTTCATGGTACATGATATTTCTAAATTTTATATATATATATATATAGAGTCTTCCTATTTTCAGATTGTGATTTCTCCTGGTGATTGCTATGATAAGAAAGTCTCAAAAAAGCCCTGGTTAAAACTACTTCAGTGACAATGATGAAAGAATGGAGAAGGTAAACACAAATGAGTTTACAAACAGATAACTATAAGAAAAGAGCAGCAGAATGAATATAGACAGTCATAAAAAGTACCTTGAAATTAAAAAGAGTTATTAAACAGTATAGAAGAAATTAGTTTGAGGCAGAACAAGCGCTGAAAGGACTGAGAAAAGGAGGCACTGAGATATTGCAAGAAAGAGAAAAAGAACTGAAGATAGAGAAAAGGATGTATACTCCAATAACAAGTATTTTTTAATTGGCATTTTCTACTAAGGTTGCTTCTTTCTAACCATTTTCATAACATATATACATAAGTAATGTCAATTGTGTATATATAGATGTATATGCATATATAGGAGGCATATATAGATATACATAAACACTCAGAAAGCTATGTAAAATACATTGTACCCATTGTATTTTAACTGAGGTGGGTAACAATAAAATGACAGAGTTTGCCATTTTGTTGTATCTTCATATGTTTTACACCTATCTGAAAAAAAAAGAAAGTTAAGAATTGGTTCCATTCAACAGGTATACAATGATCTTCTGTCTAATAGTCCTTAAAAGGTAGATCTGGAAGATTCTCCTGAACAGCATAGTTTGCATTAGTGTATATATATATTTCTTATTTTCTCTTGTCACCTAATTTGGAAATCATGTAACTTAATGTCAAAGATTTTATGACAGTGACATATTACAAACACTTTTAACTTTTCCCCCGCCATGCTACCCATGCTAAACAGAGCGTAATATACAGCATACACTGAAGTCCTCACACTGACAGTCCCCTTTACATTCCCATACTTCTTGTCTGTGGAATGAAAACATTAAAGGAATGCTGCATCTTGTTGTAAGACTGCATGCTTACTTGTTCTGAGGTGTTCCCGCAGCTCCCTCCCAATATACAAGGAAACCCCTTCCTACCATTCCAGCTGTGTCTGCCTTCAGGTAATCTTCTCCAGACCTCTGAGATTCTTGCAGTCTGTTCCTGTTCCTTACAGATATTCAGCTCAATACCACAAGATGCTGAGTGCTCCTGTGTTTCTTCTTCACTCCCTCTCCCACTCGCCTGAGTGAGAGCTGAGGGCACTCTGCTCTTGTGGTATATCACCACTTTTGTGAACTACTGTTTTCCTGGATTGCCTGAATCTGAAACACGTGACAGTATGAATGACAAGTTCTGTCCTCTACCTCTTGTTTCCAGGCTGTGGACTGCATTCATGAACAGCTTTCATTGAAATAAAGGCCTTCAGGAAAAAAGGTGTCCAACTGCAGCACAGTTAAGAGCAACAGCTAGCGGAGCTGAAGGTAACCGTGTCCCATTCATCCCCAACCAGAACATTGCTGGCATCCCTCTGACTGGCACCTGTCCACAGAGGCTGGGTACTGGACACAGCACTCCAGTCTATTTAATACTTACCCAGGAGCTGGTGGATTTTACCTTTAGAAAATAGACTTCATTTGATGACAGTTCAGAAGAAAATCTGATGGAAAAATACTGTTTCTGCTGCTTGATCACCAAAGATTGTCAGTTGTACAATATAAATCATATTTCCCTATTCCTTGTTATTTTACTCTCAGAAGTTGAATCAGTCTCTTGCACCTTAATGTTTCTCCTTCAGTTCTGTATAGATTTATGTCTTGGATGGACATAGTTAAAGATCCTGTATCTACCTACACTGCAATGGAGAAATTCAATATCCAGGCATGAGCTTTGCATGCCTACATAACTTCTACAGCCAGATATTGGGGAGGCTCTCTGTCCTCAGTACTGGGAAATGGCACTTGATGTAGCCAATAATATGTGGCTACTTCGTATTAGTACTACTATAAGTACTAATAGATACTAATATGTCAAGATACTAATACTAAGATACTAATATGTCAAGATAGATACTAATATGTACACACCGAGGACTTCCTTTTCCTAAAACCCAGCCAAGCTGCACGTAATTTGGACTACACTTACAGCCATTCAATATTTCCTATTCATCCATCCATCTATCCACTCTTTACTGCACTGACTATTTAGCTCAAAAAAGAGTATAGGGATTAACACAGTACTAGGTATACTACAACAGATTTTATGGCTTCCGATTTGGGTTTCAGATCAAATGTAAGATGGGTGGAACTACTATTAACAGGCAGGATCTGGAGTACAAATCAAAGGAAGCCTGAACAAAACCCTGCTGCTTCAGGTTTTCTGACTCTGCCTTAGAGTACCTGACACCCATACAGCAAAAATGGAGAAATTCTCACCTACTTTCACTATGAGTAACTTACCACAGCCATTGTCACTTACTTCCTTCAAAGCAGTACTCTATCACATAGCCATCTAACCCTGCTGCTCCAATGTGGTCGGGTGGCCTCCACTTCATCGTAACGGAGGTGTCGGTCACTCCATCCACTGCTAGGAGAGTTGGCGGACTGGTAACAGCTGAAGCAAGCAGGCAGCAGGGAGAAGGCAGAAAACGGTGTTACCATTAAAGGTTTACATTTATGGTGTGTATTTCTCTAATTTAGCATCATCAGTCTGTCAGCTGACAGGCTCCATCCTGCCTACCAGGCATTTCCAATCACTCCTGGCATGTTTTTCCCAGTGGAGGACCAAGCTAGAAGAAGCAGGTACCTCATCCTATAACTGCTTACAGCCTAACCCAGAGGTAAGTTCCTCCTGCTGAGGAGAGAGAAGGACAGAGAGGTGGAAGGCAGAGCAGGGAAGTTGTGAGGAGTGTATTCTCCAACAGCAGGTATTTTCTGGCAAAAGGAGAGCGTGGAGAGCAACGAGAGCCACCTTCTTCCTCCTCCTCTGCATTGTGGGGTGCCGCTGAGCAAGGTGGGAACCTTTCCTGGCCTAGAGAGCAAGACACCTTTCTTTTACAGGGACTTGTGGTGCTCACAATAGTTTAGAAATCTGTGTCCTCAGATGAATGGCCACCAAATTAGATTGTCACTAGGTGAATGACAAACACTGTAGTTACTGCATTAATATAAAACAATGAGTTGACATGTAGAATAGCTTAATCCGGATTGTCTGCAAAAGGATATTGAAAATATGTGATAACTTTCAGGGAAAAAAGCCCATACATCAGATAATGGGGATTCATGAGGCATAGAGTGAAATTAGGGACTATTTAGATGTATCTTATTATATGATTTATTGCAATATTGGGAAAATTAACTCAGTTTTTTCCATAGATTTCTATCTTTATGATAGAACATATACCTGTGATGATTTTTTTTTTTTTTAATGGAGCTGTATGGATTATTTGTGAATACTTCTGTATTTTTAAACGGCAAGCTACTATGTAACAGCAAAGCATAAGTAAGGAAACATGACAGAAAGTCTCATTTTCATATACTGCAGCCTCCAAATAGTGATCTTTAGACTTCTGGTCCCTCTTCCAGACCATTTTTGGCCAAAAGCCAATGCCTGACTGAATTTACCACAGAGGAAAGACACACAAAACAACCAAGACTATAATCCATCATCTTTATCAATTCTCTAAATTGCCAGTTTGACTGGCAATAGTTGGACTCTACTGACTCAGGAGGTATCTGTGATACACAAAAATGTGGAACTATTAGTTCTGGTCCTTAAAACATCTTGACCATAGGACTGACCATATCAGGCTCACCTATCATGTCACTGTCTTATTGCAGTGCACCATGTCTGTGTTTACACATCCTTGTTTCTTGGTCATAAAAGACTATAAATCCTTCAGGGATAGACATATAGTTTATGCAACAGCTAATAAAACAGGTCCTGAGAAACACAAGTACAAGAAGATCTACAGTTTTATAATTAGATGACGGTAGTAATGTATTAATGATAATTTTGTAAATGCACACTTATCTCTATGCTATTGATTACTCACCTAAAGGAACAAAAGACTTTGAAGGCATACTTGGTTTGGAAATGCCAATCGCATTAACAGCAAATACACGGACCTCATAAGCAACACCTTCAATCATCTTCTTTGGCTCAAAAGTTGTTTCTTTACACAGTTCAAAATTCAGCCTCATCCACCTGGAGCTTTGTTTCTTTTTCCTTTCAATGAAATAGCCTATTGTCCAAACAAAACTTTATTATAATAGGCAGTGGCATGTAGCTTAATAGTGAAGTGTCTATATTTTGACTGCCCAGTGGCATCTGATCTGGAAACACATCAATATCCTCTTCTAGTCTCAGAGTGGTTTAGAGGTTATTGTTAAACTTTTCTCACTGCAAGCTATCTCATAGTCACCTGATTGGCTTTCATGGGCACGTGCAAGCTTTTTTCGGACTTCACTTACAACACCACTGTATTTAGTTCAGAGTGGAAAGGACCTGATTCTGCTGCCCTCTGGGCCCCTCTGACTTTCATCTTGGTTCAGTGTATTAGAAGATACTCCCATTTACTCACTAAGTTGTTTCTGAAATTCCTGCTAACATTCAAACTGGCTAACTGCTCTAAGTTTGTATTATAAAATTTTGTCTTTCACGTAAGGGGGTTGATAATGTGAAAACATACAAATTGACAAGTATCAAAGCATTAGAAAAAACAGGTATCTGATAAAGCTGAAGGTTGGGTAAAGCATTCTTGCAACTGGATGCTCAGAGTGTAACTCTCCAGGGCCTGAGCTAAACTCTGTTCCTATGGTGTCCATTAGTTTGGGTTTGCTGCTTTTGCCTGTATTAGAGCATCACCACCAAAAAAAAAAAAAAAAGTATGTACCTAAGATGGGGGATCCACCATCATTTGCCGGAGGTTCCCAGGTCATAACACACCAGTCTTCACCCACCTCAGTCACATTTGGTGCCTGAGGAGGATCAGGAACATCTGTTGTAAACAAAGTAAATATTATTTAAAAAAACCTCCTTCTTCTTTTTGCATAGGTTGAAATAAAAAATGTCAAATAAGAAACAAATCTGTATAGTTTTTGAAGTGCACCAGGAGTTAGTTCCTAATGAGGAGAAAGAAGGTCTTAGGGGATCCTGGCAGGTGGTTAGGAAGGGATAAATTCCAAGATCTTCAGCACAGTCAAGACACTTGAGAGGAACTTGAGGGCTGGAGAATGGAGAGTGTTAAGGGCAGCCTGAAGCAGCTGCACAAGTTTTGACCCTTCAGCGTGAGATGGCAGCAGGGTGATAATTAACTCCTATTTAAATCCCATGCTAAGGTCCTGTAACAATGGGCCTTAGCATCCTTGCACATCAATTCCACATCTGAAAATGGGGACAAACAGGGAAATGAAAGTGTTCTGAGAATCTACAAGTCTGGTAGCTAGAGAGGACAGAATCTACAGAAGAAACCCTCAGATAGAGGAAGCATAATTTGTCTCTTGTTGAGTTGCAGAAAAGTAGGGTTCTTCAAGCGGCATTTATTGAAAAAGGCTGTGATAAAGACATGCTCATGCCCACTGTTCCACATGACTTACCAACCACTTTAATGTTGATTAGAGCTGTGTCCTCTCCAGCCTCATTCTTTAACGCTATTCTGAAAGGACCTGAATCTTCCCTCTCAGCTGTATCAATGACCAGACAGCTGCTGTCTGGGTATGTTTCTGCCCGTATTCTTCCACTGTCTGTGATCCACTAGGAATCAAAGTAAGCAGAGGGAAAAGTCATATTTTATGTATTTGAGAATCAACATGTTAAAAAATCAAAATCCAAATGCAGTACAGGACACTTCAGCAAAAATACTAAACCATCTGTAACAAAAAACACACCAAAGCTCAGAATTTCAATCACCTAATGATCACAAAAAAGACAAAATAACTGAGGGACAAATAACTTTAAAATATGGTGTGCTGGTTTTGGTTGGGATGGAGTTGATTTTATTCCCAGTAGCTAGTATGAGGCTGTGTTTTGGATTTGTGCTGAGAAGAATGTTGATAACACACTTTACTATGTTAACACTCATCTTTAGTATGAGTCTAGGGTGGGTTTTTTTTTTGTATTTGTATAGAGAAGAATATTGACAATATATTAATATTTCTAGTGGTTGCTAAGCAATGTTTACATTAAGTCAAGGACTTTTTCAGTTTCTCATACTGTGCCAGAGTTCCCAGATTCTTCTCTGCAAGAAGCTGGGAGGAGAAACAACCAGGACAGCTGATCCAAACTGACCAAAGGGATGTTTCATTCCATAAAATGTCATGCTCAGTATATAAGTTGGCAGAAATTGGCCATGGAGCTCTCTCAGGGTGCTGTCAGGCTCCCTGACTCTGACTCTTGTTACTTGGGAATGGCTTTGGTGTCAGTCGGTGGGTTGTGAGAAGATGTGTTTGGTATGTATGTATTTATTTGTGGGGTTTTTTTGTTTGTTTGGTTGGTTTTTGCCCATTGCTGTTTTAATTTACATTAGATATTATCATCATTAGTAGTAGTAT